GGTAGTTGAAACGTTGTCCCTTTCCTTCCCTCCCCCTGCCCTGTTTTCATTTGCTGGTTGCCTACATTTTAGATGTTGACAGGTGAATATCAACACCATTGATCTTTCCCTGAGGAGTGCTACAACAAAAAATTGCTCAAATTCCTTTCTACATTTCCTTGACATATTGTGAAGCATTTATTTTAAAACAATTCTGTTAACGTAACAATAACATGCTTATCACTAACATCATTGAGATATCAGCTACCCTGCCTCCAATAAAATAGAAAGAGGATCCTTGTTTTACCAAAAAAGGCCCTGTTTTGAATGAAGTATCTAATTGAAAGTTTTAAATTAATTAGATTATTAAATATTTATTTATATAAAATGGTCTCCCAAAACAAACCACTGAAACAGATACACAGCACTACAAAGGGATGCTAATATTACCAAACAAGACAACAATCGACCTACACTTTAGAATAACTGCATCATAGATCCTGAAACTGGCGGCAGAGGGTTTTGGAGGTTGCTCTGGGGTGAGGGGTTTGGGAATAGGGAGAGGTGGCTGGGTCCAGATTTTCCTATGAACTGGTCTGACTGACAATTGTGATTTCCAGTTGAATGAGGAAGACACTGGAGCAGGAAGGAGGAAGAGGTAGGCAGCCTGCAGCTGTTACCAGAAACATGGAAGGAGTTTTGATTCCCACCTCCAGCAGCAGGTTATTCTGATCCGGGAAGGTCAGGCTGCAGTTCAACCTCATGGAGCATTCTGATTTGTTGACACCAGAGCATGATGTGCCTGACCCCAGAATACAGGGTAGGACTGACCCCTGACACAAGGTGGCCTTTGTGTGATAGGAGGAGATTGTCTGATAGGGGTGGGCAGGGTTGGAATCAAAGAAAGAGGGTACATTTGGTGGACCTGGCCCATAAGCCATGCTGTAAAAATACTGACCATTTCCCTGACATTTCCCTCATCTCCCTCAATGAGCTCTGAAAAAGAGTCACTGGACTGAAACGTTTGCTCTGTTTCTTTCTCCACAGATGCTGCCAGACCTACTGAGTTTTTGCTTCCATCATCTCCACTGGGGTCCGGGGTTTCCAGAGACCTGGGAAATAACCACTCTACATTAAACAAGTTGGAGGCTGCCAGCTTCATTCAAATAATTAAGTACCAAGCCACCTCCTGAAGACATGTTGGCTGCATGCCCCTACTCTGTTCCGTTAAACATGGCAATGGGTTTGTAGTGGCAATGGAGTCAGGTTTGATTCTGAAAATTTTAGCAACAATTCTCAGCTACTGGCTTTTGGGGGGTTCAAATGCAATTTGTTGTTTCACATTTTGTGAGGCTTATATTGTATTATGAATGGTCACAGACTAATACCTGTATAGAGTGCAATCCAACACTGCCAGCATAAAGATCATGTTGGATGGTGTCACAGTGTACGTCCAATTTCCACAGCCAGGATGTGGTGATTTTTCTTGCACATTTGCACTGGTGTGCAGAACATTGGTACAGAAATCAATCAACTTTAATGAACCTGAATGACAGTACTCCCTTTCTCTGACCTTTAAAAAGATTCCATATTAAGTTTAAGACCTTCCTAAGGAGTCCATCCAATCACCCAGGTACTTCCAAATATTGCGATGCCTGGGATTTCGAAACGTGTTATCAATAATGTGAGATGACGTGCCAGAGGCTATCTCATTCTGCACAATTTCAATCCACTCCTAAATTTCCTCACCCCAACTTGAGTCACACTACCACTTTCATACTTACATTCAAACCTGCTTCACATTGTACAAAGATAGTGGGTAAAATTAGCCTGGATTACTTATTAATTCAAGGTTTAGCACCAATGTTATAAAAAGAAATTTGATTCAGATTAAAAAGTAGTATATTGCAAAAATATACTGGAGGAGATTTTCTAGGCATAATAACTGAAATGGATAAGGCAGGTTTCCTTCCAGGTACACATTCCTTGCACCCATATTTCCTGTAATTGCTGTGCTTCAGAGCAGAACAATCTGTCCCAAAATCTTTACTAGTGACTTTTACAGTTTAATAAAGTATGTTCTTTTGCAAGTAAAAATACCTGTTTTGTGAAATGTAGCAATCCACATTAACAAATACAGGAGGATAAGTGCTGCAATATTTGAAATGTCAACTATCAAGTAATTATTGAATCTAATCTAATAGTTTCTATGACCTAGCATTTTATCCATTATTACAGCAGCCCACAGCATTTCAGCTAAAAATCATAACAAGCCATCATTTTGACAGCACGTTGCAAATGAAAAGCATGACATGAAGCAATGAACTTGAGGTACTCATTAAACAATGGCCCTGGAGAACCTGATTCGTGCTTTGTGAGAAGTTGCGTAAATCAGAAGTGTCATATAATTCAAATAGAATGTCAAGTTAAACCTGTTTGGAAAAGTAAAGCATTAAACACTCGTCAATGAAAGACAATTCAATAACTTGAACTTCACAGGAACTTTGTTAAGGCAAAGCTACCATCACCACCACCTCCCCCACACCCACCTCCCCCCCACCCCGCCCCCCCCACCCTGAGCCCATTGCAATAACATGAAGTAGGTTCTTCAGTTCCAGATCATAGATGGCAACCAAATGTCACTCATCTCAGCCACAGCAAAGTCTAAAATGGGCTGGTAGCCTTCAACATGCCAAAAGGGATCTGCAACATATCGTAGCAAAATAAATCATCGACTACAGAACACATTGAAGATAAGTACAAAGATATGTTCACAGGGTTAGGATGTCTTGAAGGAGAATATCATCTCATGCAAGACCAGTTCAGCATCTGCTGAGGCCAGCCTGAAAGACAAGAGAGAAGAACTGGAAAACAAACAGAGCAATCAAGAAAGTGACAACTCCTACAGAGTGAATTAACAGCATGGTCGTAGGGTAACAACAGGGAAAGCTGAGCGTATGAGTGGACATGTAGAATATAAATAAAGCCTTAAATACGTCTCATTACCCTATGCCAAACACTGAAAGAATTTTTGGCTCAAATTGCAAAGGCAAAAATCTTTACCATTCAAGATGTAAAGTATATTTACATCCAAGTATGGATAGATTAAAGAAATAACCTTTTAACCACATTTTGGATGCTCTTCACCAAGTACATAAGATTGTGCATAGCAGTTGGCATTTCCACTGGTCCAAAGTGTATCAGTACAAATAACATGAGAAGGTTAGAGATCTTCCTTGATTGCAGGCTGTAGTGGATGGTCTGCTAGTTTTTGAATATGGAAACACAATGGACAAAGCCATTGCTGATTACAATCAAAATCTACTGTGACTGCTTGACAGATGTCACCAGGCAAACCTGAAGTCGAACAAGAAAAATTGTAAATAAGGATGCCCGAAGTCCTGTCTCTCCCATAGTGGTGAGAGCTGTAGTAGTGATGCAGCGATAAACAGATGTAAAAGCTGTGTTATGATCTGTTGGATTTGTTAACTATTGGGTAACATTGTTGCCCACCCTGTCATTGGAGTGTGAACTATTACATCAAATCATGGCCAACAACATGCAGCGGTTCAGAATTAGAAACAGCTTTCACTAAAACTAGCAACTAGTGATGTAGATGTCAGGGCTGAAATACCGCTGTAAATGAAGAAGCCAACCTGCAGTGTGACACCAGTGAGACTGGTCTTGGAGCAACCCTGCTGCAGCAAACTCAACTGGTTTCACCTGCATTCACAGTGCCAGCACAAATAGAAGGCTCAGATTGAGAAGAGCACTTGGCCCTTGACATTGCTTGAGGACATTTTCATCAATACAGACCTGGAAGAGGCAAAGTGATTGTTGAGTCTGATAACAAGCTGCTGTTATCTGATCAAAAGCATCTGCAAAAAATGTTACTCCACTTAAAGAGATATAATCTGGATGTTACAAGCAAGGGAAGCAGATGCATATTTCAGATATACTGTTAAGAGCAGCATCTACCATTGGAACTATGTCTTGGGCTAAAAACATTAGAATTTTTTAGAATCCCTACAGTGTGGAAACAGGTCATTCAGCTCAACAAGTCCACACCAACCCTCTGAACAGCATCCCACCTAGACGCACCTCTACCCCATCCCTGTAACCCTGCATTCCTCATGGCTAATGCACCTAACTTTCAAATCCCTAAACATTATGGGCAATTTAGCATGACCATTCCACCTAACTTGCATACCTTTGGATTAGGTCACACAACCTCAGAGTCTAGATCTATGAGCTTCCTATTTTCTCCATCATAGAGTTTGTCAACTTCTCCCTTTTTACCATGATTCACCTCTGTTCTGCATCAGCCCATTAGCTTTTGAAACCCACAGATCTGCCCCTGCTGCCCTCACACTTAACTTTGCCAACGCTCCCGCACCTGGTTACCACCTACCACCCTCTATATACTTTAGCTTCTTCAAACTTCTGCTGCCCATATCCTAACTCACACTAGCCCTGCTCTCCCAGCCCCCCAGTGCTCATCTTTCTACATCATCAGTTATAGCCTTGCTTTTAAAATTCTCATCCTAGTGTTCAAATTTCTTCAGAGCTTTGCCCATTTTTATCTCAGTAACCTCTTCTACCCTCTGAGAACTGTACATTCCTCCAATACCTGCCTCCTTACTGCCTGCTTCTCATCTTCACTGGCCATGCTTTCTGAGCTACTGAGTTTTCTCCTTTTTCCTCCCTGACTCTGTCTTTTTTATGACACTCATCTGACCACTTGTTTAATGTTCCTTTTTTTTGGATGGTGTCACTTTTTCGCAGTTACACTCCTGTGAAGCCCCTTGGGTCATTTTACTATTAGAGAGGCTTTATAGAAATGCAGGCTGTTGTTATTTGTGTTTGAGATGTGGAAAATTGACAGTCTACTGATGATACACAGTTTCAGAATTTGCTACAATACTTGCACAGAGATCTTGTACATAATGTATATTCACAGCAGCAGCATGTCATTCGATAGTCTACAAAAAAAGTTACATTCACAGAACAAAACAACGTACCTGCCCCTCTTGTGTGATTAAAGTCTCCTTTTATAACTTTACATGATTTTCCATTCCCATTGCACACTCCACAATGATCTTCTCTGGCTGAGGAATCTAACATGCCATCACAGCCAATTTTCTGTGGAAAATTAAACAAGATATTTTTTACTGAATTACCTTCAATTGTTTTATTAAGGTCATTACATATTAGTTTGTTGAGAATATTTAAGGATGAACTAAACATTGATGACCAGTTAGGCCAATTGGGCAAATAATTAAAAATGCCATCCACCACCTATAAGATACAAGTTAGGAATGTGATGGAATATTTCCCACTTGCCAGGTTGTGTGCAGCTCTAACAACACTCGAGAAACTTAACATCATTCAGGACAAAGCATCCCACTTGACTGGGACCCCATCCACATTAAAATTCACTCCCGACATCACTGACTCACAGTGGCAGCAGTGTGTACCATCTACAATATGTGCTCCAAGAACTCACCAATGCTCCATCCAGCCTCAAGTTCAATCATCAAGAAGGGCAAGGGCAGCAGATGACTGGTGAAACCACACTTGCAAGTTCTCCTCCAAGCCACATACCAACCTGGTTTGGAACCTCCTCCACATTTCTTGTATTTCCATGCTCAAAATTTGCAAATTCCCTTCCTACCAGCATTGTGATGTTATCTACTCAATACAGGCTGCAGACAGTGTTCAGGCCAGTGGCTCACTACCATTGGACCATCGTAAGGGCAATTAGAGATGGGAAATAAATGCTGGCCCATCCAGTGACACCCAGATCCTGTGGAAAATTAATTGTAAAAGAAATAGACAACTATGGTTTTGTTGTCATGCATCTGGTTGGTGGGGTGATCAGACCTTTATGTTTATCATGATGCTGCATGCTTCCTTCAGCTGTGAAGTGAACCTGGGGAAAGGGATGCCAACTTCCTAGTCCTTCCCAAAGCCCAAGCTGTAATATATTTGCTCAAACTGACAAGTATTTTGTGGGAGCTTTGCCCAGATTTATGATAATTAGTCTTGCACTATACACCTTCCTATTTCTAAAATCCTGAAGAACTCAAGCTTGCAAGCTGTGAGACTTTTTACTCTATTGGCAGCAACCAGTTTTGGCAAAGGTCATGTCTGGAGAAATGGCTCCCACGGCCTCTAGATTCTGCTTCCAGACTGCGCTTTAAGAATGTGCATTGCATTGTATGTCTCACAATAATCAACTGCAAGGGTAGGATGAAACCTGCACAAACATTAATTGTTCAAACAACAAACCAAAGTCTATTTATGTGCAACAAAATGCAAATCCTGCTCATAAAGGGAATAGAGATAGCTAGGCACCTTGGGTAAAGGATTCCCCTTTTGGTGCCATTGGCAATCTGAGAGCAAATGGCACTTAAAATGCATTAGCTTTCCAAAACAAAGTAATTGTTCAAGTTTCTGCTGCAATTTATTTGTTTAGTTTGTACTTTCAAATAAACCTATTGGACTATAACCTGGTGTCAACTGATTTTGACCTTAATTACAATTTTAAACTTTTGCATAAAGCAGTACAAAAAGCAATGCTTTACAATGGGAATATTTTCCTTTGTTTCCTTATGAAATAACTCCACAGAGGCCAGCATCCCATCATCAAGTCGCCCTTTATTTACACGTGGAATGTCCTTGACACTGGTCCAACACCCTCAGAGCCAGCTCTCAGAGTGAGCGGAACCTCTAACACTCCTGTTTATAACTGTCAGCCAGGGCTCCCTGATTGGACCAGATTAACAGCCCTAATCAGAATACCCATTTTCTATGAGGTCCACCTGGCTGACCTTGTTACAGTCATTACACCTTGCATTGAAAAATATTCTTTGACTTAAGAGAAGTAACTTGTTGCAGCTTTATTGATGTAAATGAAAATGTGTTTATCACCATTAATAAGAGTTTTTTTGTAAATGTTTAATCCATCAGCTGTAAATGTTTTGATTTTAAAGGACTGTCAACAGGAGATAAGGGCCATCCATTAATGATGTGGCCTATGATGTCTATCAGCCATCCATGTTCTCAAGCAAAGAGAGAGATACAATATGAGCCCTGCATCCAGTGCAACCAGAGAGAGAACCCTCAGTCTATCCAACTTGAAATATTATTAATTCAACCACTTTGCTGGCATATTGCAGTATGCCCCAGATTGTGTATTCTGGATCATTATCATTGGCTTGTGCGGTATATATTGGCAATGCAGAGAAAGCTTGTGGGTGAAGACATGGAGGATCCACATTGCATGCCCAGTTGATGAGTCCATTAATGACCCAGAGAAAGAACAAGACATTGATCATGGCCACAAGGTGACCAGTAGAGGCTGGGTAGTAAGAAGACAAGAGGAGCCTCCTAATCCCCTCCACACTACTTGTTCCTCCACCTATCTTTGTGTCATCTGCAAGCATAGCAACAATGCCCTCAGTTCCTTCATCCAGATTATTCCGAACCTCCTCTGCCAGTTCAGCATTCTACAATGCGGGTGAAACTGGCAGAGGTGAGGAGCAATCAATCACCATCGGAAGTGTCTGGAGCGAAGACCTCAAATGTAGGCAGCTGCTGTTCATCCACCAAGGTGTAAACCAATTGGCTGCCCCTGCTTGCTGGAGTGGTGAATGAGGAACTAGTGAAGACAGCTGTTGCCTTGGCTCCCTCTTGTACTGACAATGTCTACCTGTGGTCATTGAAGGGGTTACAGGTCTAAAAAACCTATCTCAAATCTCTTGCATTGGATCAGATTCTTCAGTAGAATCATCAATCTCTCAATCGAGCATGGTACATGTTCAGAAGAGGGTGATCACAGCACATGTGGTCTGGATGAACTCTTCCAGTGTCCTTGCCAAGTTGCACATAGAGGTTGGGACCTCTACCTGATCTTTACACATCCACTTGGTACTTTTAGATGAAGACTGTTGCAAAGCTTTGACATTGTCATTTTTACTGAAGAACTGGGCTCTCCCACTATTGATGATGAGGATATCCACAGAACTTTCTCCAGTGGGTTGTTTAGTTGTCATCTACCATCCACAACTAGATGTGGCAGGACTGCAGAGTTGAGATTTGATCTGCTGTTGAATTTGCACCCATCACTGCCTCCGAGCCTGCTCAGCAAATCTCTGCTGCTGAGATGCCAGCTGTTCATTGGTCAGCCATCATGGAATTGAAACAAGAAACTGGGACCAAGTGGGAGCAGACAATATGCACAGCTCCACTCACTCACTTTCTGATAAACTTTGGCCTGTGGCTGCATTATAAACATACGCTTAATCTCTGTACCAATGTAAAGGTCCTGTAAATTATAACATTCAATTTACAGTCATAGAAAAATGTTCTGAAACTTTCATTGCAAATTCTGAGTTGAAGTTTGTACTTTAAAGCATACCTGACTTACATGACTGAATAAGAATGTAGATTCTATGACAGTACTTAAGAAATTTCAATACTGTTACCTGTATAATCCTTCCTCATCACCTTGTTGAAACATGCTATATATGACACAGGTTAAAGCAATGAACAAAATGTCTTTTCTTATGAAGCACTGTTGTTCAATGTACTCCATTTACACACCATTTATTTTTGGTAATGTCATGCATTTATCTCAGATCATCTACCGTACTAAGAGGAAGTAATATTATCTGCTAAACTTTAATCTAATTGTCCCTAACACACTGAACATTTTATTTAGTTCTGCTATTATCTATATGACATCATCTGTTAACAGTTTCAAATACTTCCAAACTTCAAAAGTTTGCTATTTTGTGGCTTTTCAAGATGTACCCTAGCATTTATCATTTTACACAAAGACCTTTTCCGGACCAAAACAAGAGAGAAAATCAGAGGCTATTTTACTATTAAGTTTAACTTGTAATTATAATGTAGTTGTTCTTTTATTGAGAATTTTAAAATGCAAAAGGCTTGCAAAAGGAAAAAAGAATTGAAAGCTTGATACTAGCCAAGACAGGGGGAAGGAAAAAGTGAAAGGATAAAGGTCCAAGGTGTAACATTTCAGTGAGGGTACTGTGTGGAGAAAAGTAACACATAGGCCAAGCCTCTGTCAATCTGCTCTATAACAATTTGTTACAACATTCCAACTTACTCACTCACCAAGATAACCCTTTGTACAGGGAAGAAGTTTAATCTACAGTTAGTTCTTGATTCGCCACTCATGACTCTTTCTCCTGTACATTGATGACATCATCGGTGCTGCTTCCCTCTCTCTTGCAGAATTGGAAAAAAATGATCAATTTTGTTTCCAATTTCTATCCTGCCCTCACCTTCACCTGGAGATAGCAAGAACTGCAGATGCTGGAGTCAGAGTCAACATAGAGTCAACAAAATTTACCAGATTACCAACAAAATTTCACTTCTTGTACGTTTACTTTGACATAAATAAGAATCAATGCAAATTAAACATGAATTAACATGCATATCACAGCCAACAGAAATGATAAATTCTACAAGATTTAGTAGATACAATAAAGAACAGTTTATAGCATTAGTTGGCAGCCTAATCCACCTACAGGCCCAGTTCCAGTCTCACAGTCCTTTGAAGCTAATTTCCACTCCTTTTCCTTTAAGGATTGAGCTGATTCAATGTAAGATGCAGCCTCAATACAAAAACCTTTCTGAACATGTTGTCTTCCTTTTTTTGGTGCACTTCTTTTAGAACATTCCCAGTTCTGATCTGCTATCAACTGTAATAAAGTGAATCCACATGAACCCCTTTTTTTCATCTCTCCCATACCTTTTTGTTTTTGCCAAACAACCTTTACATTTTTAATCTTCCCTTCTCTTTGTACTGATTCCAGGTCAAGAATTACCAGATCCCATGGACTAGAATTTCTTCCTATCCAAAGCTAACAATTGACCCCTTCAATTCTCAACCCTTAAAAATTCTTTCAGACATATTTTAAAAACAATTATATTTCCCAAGCATTTTATAGTAACTACAAATATTGCTACAGCTTTTCCTTCCAGGTCACAATCATTGTAAATGTTCAGCATGACTTGCAACTCCATGCGAGAAGTTCTGGATAATATCCAAGCCTGACCGATAAGTCTAAAGTAAAATTTAGATCACAAAACAGTCAGGAAATGACCATTCCCAACAACAAAATAAGATCTAGTTGCCCATCAGCAGTATTATCATCACAAAGTCACCCTACAACATCTTGTGGGTTACCATTATTTGGAAACTTAACTACACCAGTCATCAATATCACATGCAGGCCTGAGACTGGGTATTTTGTGGTGAGTAATTCATCTTATAACTTCCCAAAGACTGCCCAACATTTAAAAGGCAAAAGTCAAGAGTGTAATGGAATTCTTGCCTGGTTGAATGGATCTACAACAGAAGTCAAGAAGCCTGAGAGCCTGTCTCAAACCTGTGACCTCCACCACAGGGATAGGGAGCTCACAATCATTTGGAAGTTTCCTCTAAATCACACAGATTCATGTCTTGTAAATTTATCACCATTCCTTCACTGTGGGTGGTCAAATTCCTGGAATACCATTCACAGCAGCTTTCTTGGAGTAATTTCACTACATGGATTGCAATTGTTCAGTAAGCTTGTTCACCACCTTCTCACAGATAATTAAAAAGAGGCAATAAAATTCAGGACAACAAGGTGCAGGGCTGGATGAACACAGCAGGCCAAGCAGCATCATAGGAGCAGAGAGGCTGACGTTTCGGGCCTAGACCCTTCATCAGAAAAGGGGGAGGGGAAGGGGGTTTTGAAATAAATAGGGAGAGAGTGGGAGGCGGATAGAAGAGGGATAGAGGAGAGGATAGGTGGAGAGGAAACAAACAGGTCGAAGAGGCGGGGATGG